AGCAGGTTCTGTAGTTGTAGCAGGTTCTGTAGTTGAAGCAGGTTCTGTAGTTGTAGCTGCGACTGTAGTCGAAGCAGGTTCTGTAGTCGAAGCAGGTTCTGTAGTTGTAGCTGGTTCTGTAGTTGTAGCTGCGGCTGTAGTTGAAGCAGGTTCTGTAGTTGAAGCAGGTTCTGTAGTTGTAGCTGGTTCTGTAGTTGTAGCTGCTGCTGTAGTTAAAGCAGGTTCTGTGGTTGTAGCTGCTGCTGTAGTTGTCATGAGAGCTATAGTTGTATTGTCAGCTGTAGTTGTTTCAGGTGGAGCTGTTGTGGTTTGGTCTTCAGCTGTTGTCAGAATGTGAGGTGAAGCTATAGGGGTACGCAAAATGAGAAAAAACATTTCTTTATTTTATTTTTCTTTGCCTTTAAGTGCACATACTGTACTGTGCTTGTTTTACTAACTTCTGTGTCCAGCTGTATTTGTTTATTATTTTCATTCATATTTCAAATAAATGTGTTTCAAATATGCCCTTCCCCTTTTATGAAGCACCCTGCAAGTAACCTCGGTACTGTAATATCTAGTCTTCTCTTCATACTGTTTATTTTAAAGACCTGCCATCTACCACTGGAGTAGTGCTCTCACAGAGCTGTGTAGTCTGCCTACCTGGCTGACTAGAGTGCTGCATTGCCTCTCGGACAGTGGTTTAAGACTGAGGGCAGGAAGGCATGTTTGCCTGTGGCCCAGACTGCCCCTCGAGCTCCTGCAAGTCTGTGGTGCCTAACCATGGCCAAGGATGTGGCCGTTCTAAGAACTACGACACTGCAGCCAGCATGACACACTGGGGCTCTTCCGATCCTGTGCATGCACTGTGTTTTACAGGGCGAAGAAGCCGGGAAACAAGAAGCAGAGGAAACTAAATGAGAACGCATTTAAAACTACCAGGAAGAACGGCTGCAAAGAAACCATTGTTAAGAGTGCAGAGTAAGAGGAAGAATCTTGCCTTCCTTCCAACTCAGAAACTGAACCTTGGAGGCCAGCTGATTCCGAGGGCACCTTTGGCCTGCCTGAACTTTTTCGGTCCTCATGAGTGCCAGCGTCTTCATATCATTTGATACTCTTAAAACAACAGTTAGTGACAGTTGCAAAGGTCTGGCAATTTGTGTTAAAGATTGACCTTCATTTCTTAAAGTAATTATAGACTGTCTTTTTTCCTTGCATGCTGAGCAAATTTTGCCACGTTCATTCAGGAATTACAGACTTTTGCCCATGCTCCCTATATTTATAGTCATCGTGGGCCCTCACCCATTTACCAATAATTGGTGACAAAAGGTAAATGAGGTAACATGCTAGTTAACTATGAGAACATCTTACAAAGATAAAGGCAACTTTAAATTTCATTTAGTGTTCTAACACCGTGTTATACACATTTCTGACTTTTAACTAACCTGGGCTTCAGACTGAAATCTGCTTGCTTTGGGTGGTCATTTTATTGAAAATGAAAAATTAACACTTTCAAAGCAGTTCACTTAAGATTATAAGTACACATATCATGTAATTAAACCTTAAGTGTTTATAAACATGTTTATACAGTTTAAAGCACAGACAATCACGAAAATCCTGGTTGGTTCCAGCAGGCGTACTCAAATGTTCGGCTGGTACTGTAATGCTGACAAAATCTTTTCCCCCGCAACGATTTTTCTTCCAGATCGGTAGCAGAGAGACACAGGGGTGTTCATATGCCATGATCATTCTTTAATCAAGAAATGATCTTGTTGTCATGATCTTCGCAATACTAACTATAGCAGTAGCAGTAGCAATAGCATTTTTAAGAGTAAGTTAAATTAGGTGGGAGCTCTGCTGTCGGCCCTGCTGGCATCAGACCAGGTGTTCTCACAGGTAACCAGGGGGTTCTTACCTGCTAGAAGCAGCAGAAAGATGGCTGCCACTCCCATCGCGTCTTCAGTGAGCGGAGCCTGCAGAAGATAGCAGAGTGAGGACACGAACAAGAACAGATCCCATCAAGGAGGAGAGAAATGTCGGTGGACCCTAATACCACAATCATGGGGTATGAGGCCACATCTGCTGACTCAGACACACCTGTCTCTCTCATCCTAGCGTTAATCCCACATCAGCAGGGTCCGCTTGTCGGCACGCTCGTCTCCATTTGATGGTTTGAACCAAATCTTTGAGCTGACGTTGTCATTAAATGTGACCGAGAATACTCCAACCAGCGCGTCACTCATCCTGCCCTCGGGGGGGAGGAGAACAAAGTAATGTAGCCAATTCATAGAGGGGGATTTATAAGGAGGCATGGGAAATTTGGCCAGGATGCCGGGGTTACACCCCTACTCTTTTCGAGAAACGCCCTGGGATTTTTAATGACCACAGAGAGTCAGGACCTCGGTTTTACATCTCATCCGAAAGACAGCACCTGTTTACAGTATAGTGTCCCCGTCACTACACTGGGGCATTAGGACCCACATGGACTGTAGGGTGAGCACCCCCTGCTGGTCCCTCTAACACCTCTTCCAGCAGCAACCTTAGTTTTTCCCAGGAGGTCTCCAATCCAGGTACTGACCAGGCTCACACCTGCTGAGCTTCAGCGGGCTGCCAATTGTAAGTTGCAGGGTGACATGGCTGCTGGCTAACTCGGACACACCTGTAACAGCGCATATTGTAGTGCCTGGCTGCGCTGCTGGCCTGCTATGTTCTCCATTCTATGGTGTAAGAGTGCCATCTGCTGGCAGGCTGCGTGTACTAACCTAACAAGATGCGCAGCCTTTGGCTGTCGACTTCGCCAGAAATTCTTTAATATCGAACAATGTTCCGTCTGCACTGTTAATACGAGCTTTCTGTGTTACCGGATCATTAAAAGCCATAAAGTACGCGAATGACATCATTACAAAAATATAGCCAGTAGCTATGCAGCTATATCACCCTGCTACTCCCAACTGGCAACCCACTACCGCTAAGCAGGTGTGTGTCCAAAAGAGTGCGATATACTGTAGGTGTAAGAAAATTATGATAATAATAATAATATCGGAATAATCTTTTGCTCTACTGGCTAGAATGTGTCACTTTTGCTCCGGAACGCTAAAAATGAAAATGTTTTTTACTCCAGCCGTGACGAGAGAGAATGCATCCCTGTTAAATATAGCACGGACAGTCGGTGCAGTACGTCCGCGTCTTTCGTCCTCCGAGTCGGAGCTGCTGCCGGAGGAAGTTACACCTGCCGCGCGGGAGTTCACACTGCGCGCACTCACCGGTGGGCACCGCTTTGGTCAAGTCAGCTCGATATTCATTTTGGAACCTCAACGGCGTTTTCCCGAAACCTCCGAGAGCTATGAAAACACTAGCATGGCGCATAGCGAGATTTGCGAATGTTTTCACAGCCTTGACTCTGTCGTCGTCGTTCGCATGAACACCTGTTGAACGGTATTTCTCGCATTGTGAACTTGTGTTCCAGTTGGTGCGTAATTGCGCATCAATCCATAAGCTAAGGTTTATAAAAAGACAGTTAGCTGACTTCTGAGTTAATGCAAAGGTTGTGAAAATGTTCACATGTCGCGGTCTTTGAGATGCATTTGATTTGCAGGCTTGGTGTGCTTCCTTTGCAAAGATATTGACAACAGAATATTCGCGTGTGGGCAGAACTAAATGGCGCAAAAGCTCCAAGCGAAGTCTGTGAAAACATTCGCAAATCACTCCATGCGCAATGCAAGTGTTTTCATAACTCTAGCGTGAAAACGCTGTTGACGTTCCAAAATGAATAGGGAACTTCGAGCTGACTGTACAGCCAGACAAACACACGTACGTTTGTGTACGTGTACGTGTAGGTAACGCAGCTGGAGATAAAGAGGAGAAGGCAGCCCCCTCGCCCAGTGTAAGAAAATAATGTTGGAAAAATATTTGGTGGAATCAGAACTGCTAATTAGTTTACACGGTATAAACAATACAGCCGAGACGCATTCTTTTTCATGACGGCCTCTTAAGATAGAACTCCGCTCCTTTTTCTCATCGATCTGTCCTTCCAAACTAGGGAAAAAGTGATCCCTGTCTTCAGTCAGTGGCATATCTCTAGTAACTTGTATCAAATTGAAACTTTAATTAAAATTAAAAAATACCTACGTCGTTAGATTGTACAAAAAATGATTTTGCTGTGTGTGATCCTACAGTCTATGGATACCGAACACTGATTGTACCCACACGAAGAGGGGAATTAATTACTTTAGGGTTGTTTCTCCTTTATTTGAACACAAACCCGAACCTTCTCAGCTAAGTTTAGACTAATTCCTAAAGCCTTCGCCGTCCGCCGCGTTGAATCAGTACAGGGAAGCAGAGTTTAGCAGTCCGAGGTCCTAGCTGGAACGGCATGAGCTCACATCCAGCTCGTGTTGTGCCTTCGCGCTGGCCAAGACATTTCCCTTGCAATCCGTCAGTAACATAGTCAGCTGCAGAGGGGTCCAGTTCAATGTCACTATAGACAAACAGGACAGCCTGTTTATCTCAAGCTGCTGTGAACAGCTCCAGGCGATACGCTTGTCCTGAAGGGTGTTTTCAAAGAAACTGCGTCGGAAGTATAATTAACAACGGAGAACAAGAGGCAATTATTTACACAAAGTGAGGTAGGAGTATGGAGCAAGCTGGCCAGCCGTGCCGTTGAACAAGATACACTGACTTTTTTAAAGAAACGGCTGGGGAGATCCTTGGATCAATTAAATACTAACTAACCCAACGGGACAGGTGGTTTTCGCCGCTCCAGAGGCGCGTCTCCAGCAGCAGTACAGAAGACACAGCCCTAAGAGTTGGCTGTCCTGCGGCACAGCTCTGTAGCGCGTCTGCGTTCTTAGAATTGTTTGCATTCTATAACGTCTAGATATTTTGTAAACTACTGTAATAAAAGGGGTCATTATGTTATGATTATAATTAGCAACTGTTTTTTGACGATTCTAGGCTCCGATATGGTAAAAACCGGTAACGCTGGGTGCTACTGTAAACATGGTCTTTACACCTTACAGTTTTCGAGGAAGGAATCTCGTTTCTTAATCGAGGGATGTGTTTAAACTCTTCTGATCTGGATTTCTTTCTGGCGCTGAAATCCGAGCCGACCCTGATCACGGTTGTCTTTCGGAAATTAAATATTGGATCTGATCCATCGATAACCTGATCTAAATTGTCAGGGATCAATTCTGATCCTACTCGAATCCTACTACATCAATTCGATGAAACGAATTTAGCTTTGTTAACCGTCATATAACTTTTAGATTGTGTTTGAACTGCGAAGGTTAAAGTACGCTAGGTTGTCGAAAATTAGATTATAATGCGCTGTTGTCATCTACTATGTGTCGTGGCAGTAAATATCAGCCGTTCCATTTCACTACACAGTTAGACCATTAGGTTCAGATCAGTCCCCCTTATCTCGCTGATGCCACTTTTAGTAGACCAACGAGATCAGGGTTAAAATTGTAAGCAACATTAGTAGAATTAAAGTATTACAAGTCCCGCTTCACCCGGCTAACAAGACCCGGTAGAGACAGTAAAGGTGCGATATTTATTTGGTAGGACCGGCATCAACTAACTTTTTACAAAAAAAATACATATGTAGCTTTGTCTTGAGGTGAGAAAATACGCCAAGAAAAAGAAGACTTCTTTCTAATCACTACACGACAATATATTGTACAAAATTTGTTGGTGCAAACGCCATTCCAAGTCCATTACGACTCACAGTTTCTGCCGAGCCGCAGGTCGAGAGACGCGCAGTGAAACTACAGAAGGGTTCAAGTATACAGTACTGTATATGCGTGAATTTACTTTCTCCTTTAAATTCCCTCCCGTGTTATGTTATCGTCTTATGTAGCGTTCATACAACGTGTTTCTGTCGGATAAATATCGCCCGATTGCCTTCTGTGGCATCAGCGTGTGTAGCAGAAAAAGCTGGTTCTTGGACTTCAGGAGTTTGTCGGAGGCTCTAAATTGTCACTTCATTAAGTTGCGGTGTTTTCAGAAGTCTCCATATCGGATGCCGAGAAATTGACTCGCGGGGGAACTCGCCGCTCTTGAGCTACAGACCTTCAAGGGACGAACTTCCGTCTTCCAGGTTAAGTTTACTATCCTTCTGCTTAAAATCGCGGCTCCTCCGGATACAGGTCCTGCGAGCTCCTGCGTAAACTTACTCCCCACCGCACGATTCATCCGTTAATTCGTGTCGCGTTACAGATGGCGCTTCTCTTCTACACTGAACGGGTGACGCGAAGTCTAGTTCAGAGGAAAAACAAGCTGTGCAACACAGACCCTGAATAACCGGGTATTCAGCCGCTCTGGGCCCAATTGAAATTGAAATGTAGTCCGGGAAAAACAAGATTTGTTGTGATTGTTCCATGTTTGGCATCTCTTTGATTTGTTCTTACGTAAAGCACTTTTAAAAGTAATTACTTTTAAAGGCGCTCTATGAAATGAAGTGTACAACAACGATAATAAAAGAATGAGAATAAGGATACTTTACTTACCTAAAGAGACCCAATCCTTGCCCGAGACCCTCCTAGTCCCGGGTGTGTCCCGGGTCTGTGATGCTGTGAGTCTTGATATTCCAGTAGCAGAGGAACAGTGACAGAGGGGAAGGGAGACCTCGCTATTTATTCCACCTGTCTCTCTCCCAGGTGTGAAGGAGGGGCGCCAGTGCGGCGCTGCTGAGAAACAGGAAGTGCCGGTGGGTCCTCGGGCCGGGACTGGCGAAGCTCGCGGACTTGGGTCGAAAACAAACCCTGCTAACCCGTTTACGAAACAATTATTAGTAGCGACGTAAAACATACGAGCGTAGCCAAACATATGAATATAAGAACGGTTTGGTAATGTAGCCAAACATATGAATATAAGAACGGTTTGGTAAGTATGTACTTAATTGATCCGAGGAGCACATCCCGATGTTTCTGGAACGTTTCTGACAGTAGCAGCAGTTCCTTTATCCAGTCTTGTTACAGTTCTCATTAATGGTACTGGGGATGGACGAATCCGATTAGAATGACGAAACGAATCACAATAATCAGATTATAACCATCAGAATTGTAATAAAAAGTTTTGTTTTTAACAAATTATTGTATTATTATTTACCTAGAGCTACCCACACTGACCGGCAGAAGGAACTGAGTGCCTTCAGTCTTGAACAGAGAGGACTATGATCCTCAGTCCAGCAGACATTTTAGGAATTGACGGTAAAACTTCAAACCGAGGACAGAATTCAAACCGCGTTTATTTCGAAGATGCTTCGTCCCCAGATAACCAAAAGGTTCATAACTGCTGAAGAAAGGACGGAAATAGATTATTTTCAGACGCAGTCGTGCAGATCAGGGACTCGGAGTCAGATACCTGTATGACAGACGGCCAGATTAGCAGAAAATGGTGCCGGTAGATACAGAGATAAGAGTCTCTGACAAGCAAAGAAATTGCTTGCCGGAACAGGCTCATCACGACAAACGAGAACGCTTAAATAATGACCGTGTCCTTTTAAAGTTTTTATCATCATCATCTAAGTCATTTGTACGACTCCCGTGTTGCTTTATTTAGCAGCTGTGCGTCCACTGAACCTTTGCAGAACTTCTAAGTATTTTTCATCCTCTGTTTGTGCAGACACGCCCGTTCACGGACCCGCCAGTGGTTCTGTCCGGTTCATCGCTCTCTCCCCTCCCGGACAGAGCTAGTGGCGAAACCCAGTGAGCTCTCAGCCTCCGGCGCTCGCTTCGGGACCGAGCTCATCTTCCTGATTAGAATGGGGGGGGAGATTTATTCTTGACCTAAAGACCCGATTTAAAGATTTCTGATCTGGGCAATCTACAGCAAGTAATACTCGTGTACAGTCCTAGCCAGCGTCCGGACAACACCAGTGTGTTGAACCTGGTCTGCTGTCTGCGCCGCTTCTCGTCGATCGATAGACGGGTAAAAACACCCCTGGGAAATGGCATTAGGACGGCAGACAAATGAAACCGGCAAAGGCTCCAGTCAGTCAAAGCACTGTGCCCAAAAGTAAGACGAGTTAAAAACAGGGAACCAGTTTCAGAACAGGGGGACAGGAAAAGATCTGATCACAAGGTCGTCACTCTCGTTTGTAAAAAAATGTTTTTTTTTTTCCGAGTCTTTTGACTGACTTATAGATAATCTGATTGAGGATCCAGATTTGGACTAATACCTATATAATATATTATTATACTGAGTGATAGTTGACCAATAGTATATAATACATTATTATACTGAGTAATTGAAACTATGTACAGTAATATGTCTGCCGGGAAAACCGTCGGCTCCCCGGCTGCCCTGTATTGGATAAAGCGGTCAGAAAATGGATGGATAGACTGTATACAGGTGTTTGATTTTGACCGTATATAGTGTATAATGTATTTTTTTATCGAGAGATTGTTTAATACATTATTAAATCGACAAGTTGAAACAGTTTTTACTTCCTGGATGTTTCTCTAATTAATGCGGTAAGGTTGTGTGGACTGACGGGTTTTAAATCAAGCTTTATTATTCAGTGACGTGCAGCAAGATAAAATACAGTATTTGCCACACCCGTTTTCGCTTTAATGAAAAGCAAAAATAAAGCCCCCTTTCCCGCCACTTTTCAAGCGTTTTAAGTACAAAAGCGCCTTTAGAAACTATTCGACCCCCTTCCGATGATGTTCATACTGTTGAATTACAATGTGGAGCAGGAGGTCCCGCTTAGTTACTCAAACCTTTAATGAAAATACTGTGTTTGAACGGGTAAAGGTGAGAAAAAGGCTCCACAGCCGAAATGTAGAGTTTCTTTTCTTTACCTTTCAGCTTGGAATGACCCTTTACAAGTTCCACTGCAGCCTACACAGGCTGACGTAGCTCCCTACTCGTAAATGCGATATGATCTGATTTCAAGATATGTTTTTGCACCCAGAAAGACTTTGAAAGTTCACATATAAACGTGCCATTCAAAATAAGTATAGCATTACATAAAATACCTAGAGCCAAGCATATTCCTCTGTTTTCTCCCTCCACAGTCACCATTAGCACCTATGAAGGCGCATTGCCTTCTGCCTTGCCACATAGCCAGTGACTTCGCTTGCCCACAAACCAACACTCGTGTATTGTGAACTCATTTCTTGATAAAAGAATTCCTTGTTTCACGAAGTCTGCACTGAGGGGCGCTGAGACGTCTGTTTAAGGCATTAGTGAGTATTCCCCTCCCTCTTGCAGATCATTATGGTGTCAACATTATGAACTGATTTC